TAAGTTGGGCTCCCAGAGGCTGGACCTCCTGTGTGCTGCTCTGCAGCCACCCTCATGCCAGCCTGGGAACCTTCTCCAGGCTCTGGGCATTTGTTGCTGGCTTTTCTGTCATTGGAGTGGTAGGAGTGGGATGGATTAAGGCTACCCTCCCCCAGCAATATTAGTTTAAAGCCTTCCTCACCAGGTTGGCAAGCCTACGACCAAAGATTCTTTTCCCTCTCTCGGACAGATGGATCCCATCAGCCCCCAGTACACCAGGCTTCTTGTGCGTTGTGGGTAGTGACTAGTCGCTGCCCTCTACTGGCGAATTTAAGGACGAATGGGGGATGGTCACCGTTGCCCCGGCAACGCCAGCGCCAGGTCAGCCTCTCTTGGGAGAGCTGGCAGCAAGAGTCGGCTTATGCCCCTTTCCCGAGGTTTGCCTCTGAAAGGAAACTTCTGAACCCCCCTGTACCTGGAGATCAGTCAGTCCTGTGCTGGCTGAGCTGGCTCCGAGCTGCTGACCTCAGCGACTAAGTGCTGACCTTGGCAACAAATGTGAAGCTCACCTTTCTTATGTATCAAATAAAAGCTCAGAGGTCAAGTTGAATAATCCTTTTTCTTCCCACTTAGGCCAGAATGACTTACTGTGTCTTGCTGTTTGTGTCTCTGGTGTTCATCTTGGGTTGTAGTTAACACAACATATCAAAGGCATATAAGTCTGCTTGTAACTGATGGGTTTTGTTTAAGGCAAGCCAAATAAGCCAAAATACAGGTAGACTTGGGTTTTACCAATAAAACTGACATCTTGTTTTGGATTTATGATTCAAAAGGTAATACAACATGCCTTTCATACTGGACCCTAGCATAACGGCAATTAATTGGCTAGTACTTCTTGCATAATTACTTTTTCCTTCTCTTAGGGTTTTCAGAAAAGGATGCAGATGAAGTAAAAGGAATTTTTGTTGATACTAACCTGTACTTTCTGGCTTTGACATTCTTCGTGGCAGCATTCCATGTAAGTGGAGAAACTTTAGTTTTTAGGAATTCTAGCATGTTTAAAAAAAGGGTGAGTTTTTCTCATTCATTGAGAACTGTTCTTGGAAATAGTAATCTCAATAGAGCAATACAAGAAATTTCCAGTACAAATCAGCTGGTTTTCCAATACAAAGTTAGTATAAAAATCTGAAAGAAGATAGAAATATGAGATAACGAGGTATAAACTAAACAGTCTTGACTGAAATATAAAACATTTAACTTCATTAAATCACTTTTTTTTTAGCTGAACCAAAGCACCCAGTATTAATATGCCTGTCAACAGTGGTTCACATTTTCTGGTATGCTGAGTTATCACAAAGTCTACTGCTCCAGTGTCACAGCTCAGGCACCAACAGTAGGGTTTGAGTCTGACTTCTAACCCCTGAAGAAATTTAGATCAGCTGATATAGATTATTTCAAAAAATTGTGGCTGTGAAGTGCAGAGCTTGTAGCTCTAGGCATGGTTGTTTGTTGTTGTCTCTCTCTGTCACCGTTGTGTATGTGTTGGTTTAAATATGAATCTTTGTTTTAATCATAGAATCATAGAATGGTTTGGATTGGAAGGGACCTTAGAGATCATCTAGTTCCAACCCCCCTGCCATCGGCAGGGATGCCTTCCACTAGACCAGGTTGCTTATTTCTTAAATATAATAGCCACAGTAGTGTCCAAAGCACCAAAACACTATGGAAGTACAGGCTTGTTTCCAGAGACAGGACTGAATTTCCGTTTTGTGAAACATCGAGATCTAGCATGCAGTCTTTCATGAGTCTGAAATGAACAATTTTTTTAGACTTAATTGTTCTACTTTGAACATTTTTGTCATCTACAATACACTTGATGCTGTTCCCATATTCTGGGATAGATAACTTGCTGGGCATATTATGTTTCTTTATACTTATATTACATACAGTTAATTTGTTTGGAAACCCTTAGACTTCCCAGCCATTCTAATTTCTTTTTCCATTCTATTTATTAGGTTGTAAGATACCTGTAGGCTGGGACTAGCTCTTCTGATACTTTTTCTTTTGTGTATCGTTGTCCCAAATTAAAAAAATACACTTTTACGTTAAAATTCTCTGACCCAAAAATTCCTTGAATCTGTGCTGCTTTTTTTTAAGACAGTGGATGCTTAAAGGAAATACTGAAAAATATCCTGGTGACCGAAAGGACAAACCGCATCCTGGGGTGCATTAAGCACGTTATAACCAGCTGGTCAAAAGAGGTGATTATTCTGCTGTATTCAGTATTGGTGCGGTCCCACCTTGAGTACTGTGTACAGTTCTGGGCCCCACAGTTTCAGAAGGATGTGAAGGTCCTTGAATACGACCAGAGGAGGGCAGCGAAGCTGCTGAAAGGGGTGAAGGAATGTTGTGTGAGGTCTGACTAAGGACTTTGAGTTTGCCTAGTCTGGAGAAAAGGAGGCTGAGGGGTGACCTCGTTGTTCCCTACAGTTTCCTGAGGAGGGGATGTGGAGGGGGAGGGATCCAGTGACAGGACCTGTGGGAATGGTTCAACGCTGCACCAGGGGAGGTTTAGACTGGGCATTAGGAAGCATTTCTTTACCGAGAGGGTGATCAAACACTGGAACAGGTTTCCATAGAGAGGTGGTCAATGCTTCAAGCCTGTTGGCGTTTAGGACACATTTGGACAATGCCCTTAACAATGTGCTTTAGCTTTTCGTCGGCCCTGAAGTGGTCAGGCAGTTGGACTCGATGATCGTTGTAGGTCCCTTCCAACTGAGCTAATCTTTTTTATTCTATTCTGAACAAAAATACTGGAAATACTGGAAAAAATACTCAATGGAAGTAAATTTAATGCTAAATTGGTCTTGAAGTTCTGATCAACTTCTTGGTGATGAAATAGAGAGGAGAAAAATTATTTGCTGCATTTTAGGAATTTTTAAAAAACTTTGGTACTATCCAAGCCTAAATTGACTATCAATGCAGTACAAAGCACTTTGAATCTAGTTTAGTGTGGCTTTCCCTGGTCTGTCAAGGAGGTGAGCAATTCCTCGAGGTCCTCAGTTCTTCATCCTCTCTCATGGGTTACCCTGTATTGGGTCACTAACTTTCTTTACCAGATACAGCACTGTAGTAGTAGCAGTACCTGCAATTCCTCTTGTCATTTTGCACTGCTTTTGGAGCTTGGGCTTCTAAAATAGTTCTTGGCTTTTATTTGTTGTATTTAATTTTTATTTCTGAGGCTTCGAAGCCAAGTTTTTCTTGCAATTCCATCCTGAATGCATTTTTAACAGTTCAGCTGGTAGTCTTTAACTAGTGCATGTTTGAACAAATGAGTGTGTTTCTTGCTATTTGCAGCTTCTCTTTGATTTCCTTGCATTCAAAAATGACATCAGTTTTTGGAAGAAAAAGAGGAGCATGATTGGGATGTCTACAAAAGCAGGTATGGGCCAGAACGTGAAGTGTTGTGCATGTGCTGTCTAATCTATACTGTGTGGTTTTAGTCTTACCCTAAGTTGAAATTTTGTAGATTCACCAAGATGGCAAAATGAGATATGTTTGTGTATGAAAAGAAGATGGGTAATAGGCTTGTTCTAGCTTTGTCAGCGTTGTGCTCAGGTATCACTTGCTTTTAAGCACTCTTGTAACTTCTGAGGTTTGACCGTCTTACAATTGAGAATAAGTTTAACACTAAGTCACCAGATTTCTTTTGCTGAAAGAACAGAAAAACACTTTGGGAAAAGAATTAGGAACATAAAAAATCCTGTGGGTGGAGAGAATGCGCTGTCACGGGTAATGCTGTTCTGAGAGTCCCGTGTTTTCCTTGTAGGTAACTACAAGTTCCAAAATATTTGGGGATAAAAATGCTGTAGTGTAATGCTGTTGCTTGATTTGGGCTTTGGTGTAAACAGGGGCAGTAGGAGCAGGTGGATGAAAAGCACAGGAGGGTTGAATTGACTTCGATGTTGGAAAGGTGAAACATAGTGATCTGACATCTTGTCAAGCCTTCCTGCAGACAGGTGAAGGTAGTAGCTAGCCCTGGACACTTGAGCTTTAACACACTGCTCCCCAGCCTGGTTTATTGTGCCAATACTTGTTTTTCTGATAGATATTTCCATTCTGATTATAAACCAAAATTATAAACTTGGGGTCACTTGACCTCTGGGACTATCCCTAGTTCCCTCATATTTACAGACTGATTAAAACGTGAGCAATATCAATACCAGGGAAAAAAATCAGGCATTCTAAATTATTATGAACAGCAACATGTTTTTCTCATGTGGACAATCTGTTTATTGTCTTTATTGGAGTGCATTTGTTTCTGTAAGGCATTTATACTGCTGTTAGCATATGGATGCCAAAAAGTTAGTAAAAATTCAAAATGGTGCATGGAATTTCAGAATTGCCAGTTTAAAAAGTGAGTAAAGTGAAATTGGAAAAACTGAATGATAAAGGGTTTTTTAACCTTACTATCAAAGTATCAGTTTTCAGTCTCCAGTAACTGATGGTTCCATCCTCTGTTTAGCAACCCTTATTCACCCTTCTGCCTGTATCTCCTTCTCGTTTTGAGGGAGAACTGGGAGAGGCAGTTGCTCTGGAATGGTACGGCTTAATTGTTGATGTCTGACTGTGTTGTAGCTCTTCTCTGCTTAGGGGGATGGATATTTGTATCTAAGAATTAGTTGGTAGACACAAGCATCCAAAGTTTTGCAGCCCCCCCGTAAATATATTTCTTAACATTTATAAACATTAAATTAGTTGCATGAGTTTCAAAGACTGACTTTATTTCACAGCCTTCCAGCTTCCTTGAAACAAGAATCATGAACATAGTTCGTAATAGTACCAATACATTGCTGAATTGCTGCCGTACAGAACTCATAGAATCATAGAATGGTTTAGGTTGGAAAGGACCTTAAAGATCATCAAGTTCCAACCCCTCTCCCATTGGCAGGGACACCCTCCACCAGACCAGGTTGCTCAAAGCCTCATCCAGCCTGGCCTTGAACACCTCCAGGGATGGGGCATCCACAACTTCCCTGGGCAACCTGTTCCAGTGTCTCTCCACCCTTATAGTGAAAAATTTCTTCCTAATGTCTAGTCTAAATTTACCCTCTTTTAGCTTATACCCGTTACCCCTTGCCCTATCACTACACTCCCTGATAAGGAGTGCCTCGCCATCTCTCCTGTAGCCCCCTGTTCCTTAAGTACTCTGATTTCCTTTCATCTTTTGTGATAAGGATTTCATAAAATGTTTTTGTTCCTTATTTGCCTGGAGGTATATAGATCATTGGCTGTTTCTAGGTCTACTTGATATATCAATATGTATATAGAAGAAGTTCATGCTTAACCTGCATAAGGCAGAAGTGTAGTAAATAGGCCGACAGTCTTCTGTCATCTCAGCTGTTCATTTAAATATCAATAAGCCTTTCATTTTCATTTTTTCTATCTAGTGCTTTGGCGGTGCTTTAGTACTGTGGTAATATTTCTTTTCCTTTTGGATGAACAAACAAGTTTATTGGTCCTGATCCCAGCAGGCATTGGTGCAGTGATTGAGGTGAGTTCTTAAAGCTCTAGAACCAAATACCAGTATTTGCAGCATGCAAAAACATCCATAATAATAATAGCTTATTGCAGAAAAAGAATGCTGAAGTAGTTATTGGAAAAATACCTGCTGTAGTATGCTGTATTATCAGCATTGTTTAACTGGCTTTCAGTGGTAGAGGAGGTTGTGTCCCTTTATCAAATAACTAAACTGGAAGTCTTGGGTATTGTGGAAACCAAACATAGAGCTATGCTGAGGTTCCTTCCTGTCACACCATCTGATAGGCATCGCTCCTGACCAGGCATGTATAACCACGCAAACAAACCTTTGCAGAAACATTTGTCAAAGAGCACACTGTGTGCCGTCAGATAGTGCTGCAGGTCTGCAGCTTTCTCCTTGGTCATGACTGAGGTGCTTGGGTAAGGAGGAGGCTGCCGGCTGTGTTCATTGTTCCAGCAAACCATGTCCAGTCGGTGGGTTGCAGGTACTGCTTAGAAGCCTTCTTCATGTGTAATAAAGCACAGTCAGCAGTAATAGGAAGGGGGGGGTCTCTCTGAATAGCATTGCTTGTAGATCTAATTATTTCTCATTATTTAAAAATAAGTTCAGGGCTCTCGTGAGGTTTTTGACTACACATCTGTTATAGTTGCAGATAATCCCTGTGTAAACAAAAGGCTTCAGGATTTTTAGTTAGAGATTAAATTGTAGAATGCAAAGTCACAAAGTGATCCTTAAATTTTGGCTTATTGTATAAACAGATTAAGCTTTTGTGAAAACAAGGAACAGTGGTGTCCTAAATAGCACCATTTCCTTGACTGTACCATTATTTTTCAGTAAGTTGAAGTTTTTAAGTCTGATGTATTTCTCTGTGTTGAGTTTTCTGTATCAGATTTGCTCATGGTTTTGTTGCTATGAATAGAAATTTAGTCTTGTATTTCAAACTTTCTTCAGCTGTCTGAAATTTGTAGGGAAAGGAAAGCCTCAGGGATATATATATATCCCTATATATATGCTACTTCTTTTCTGGAATATCTTTTATTTTGAACCTTGAAATAGAAATAGCTACATTCAAAAAAATCCTTGAATCTAGAGACTTCAGAAATTCAAAAGCGTCAAATTATTTCAAAGTGGATCAGGTCAAGAAAAGTGGTGCTTTTGTTTGTTTCTAGCAAGGAGGAAGAAATAGCCCTCATCTAACTAAATCATTTGGGGCTTTTTTCAGAAGTTTTGGTGGAAACCAGATCAGGCACGTATGT